TTTTGTTGTTGTTTGCTTGTTTTTGCTTTTGCTTTTGTTCACTTGCTTGCTTGTTTTGATTTGTTTCCTTATGGGGGGGCATGGCGGAAATGAGGGGAGGATAAGGGGGGACTGGGAGGTGAACAGAGTTGGGGTGCATGATGTGAAACTCCCAAAGAGCCAATAAAGAAGTTAATTTTAAAAAGACACACAAAAAAAAACCCATTGGGAATTAAATACTTTTGTCAGCATTGTGTCTAGTATTCTGCAGCCATCATCCTTTTGTGTCCACTACTGAATTGATTTGTTTGCATATATGAAACAGTGAAAGAGAACTCTACTGGAATTGCTTGGAATCTGCACAGTTGATAGATTACCAATCCCCAGTCCTGAGACATATTTATACAGATTTTTCTTTGATTTATCAAAGTTTTGCAGTTTTTCCTGAGATCATACCTATATTTTCTAAATTTATTTCTTAACTTTTGCTGTTGGAATTATGTCTATGTGTCATGCTTTAAATTTCACTTGGTGGGTGTTCATGAATTTGAAGGGGATGTGCATTCTGCTGTCAATAGTGGAGTGTTTACTTCATATCGGTTATCTCATAGGTGCTGTTCATGTTAATTTATTTTCTACCTGCTTTGTTTATCAATTGCTAGAAGATGGGTGTTGACATCGCTGACACTTGCTGGTTTCTCTTGTGCATTCAATTCACATTTGCCTCATGTACTTCATTAATTATGTACAAATTCAAAGTTGTTAGCTTGGAAAGAGAAGATTATGGATGCCCCCATGCAGAAACTGCCAGAATCTTATAGGAATAAGGGGTGGTGTGGGGGAGGAGGCTGAGGAGAAGCTGGTCTCTGAGGTGGAAAAACAAACACTGGCATCAATAGCAAAGGAAGAGGACACTTTGGGAAGGAGACTAGGAGGGGAGTCCAGGATTCTTCTGGGGTGCTCAGCCCTAGTTGTGGAGGTCAGAGGGCAACGTATGGGAGTCTGTTCTCACTTCTGTTAGGTGAGTTTCAGGACTGGAACTCTGGTTGTCAGGCATGGCAGCAAGAGCCATACCCACTGAGCAGTCTTGCTGGCCTTACTCTTTACTTTTTACTGTGGAGGTTTTTCTATTGGCATGTCATTAAACTCCTTAAATCTTGCTTTGATTGCATCTCTGATGAGCTCATTAAAGCTGTTCTAAATTTCTGTTCTCCAGTTTGTTTTATTATTTGTTTGTGCAGGCTCTCACTGTGTAGGTGAAGTTGATCTCAAAATTGTGATCCTTCTGCCTTAGCTTCTCAAGTGCTAGGATAACAGGAGTGCACCACCATGCCTAGCTCTTTAATTATGGTCATGAATTCTTACATTTCTGGTTATAAGAGTTTCCATATCTGTGTTCTTTCATGCTCTGTAATTCTTGCATTAGAGTCTGTAACATGCTGATTCTAACAGTTATTTCCTAAACAGTAATTCCAAATTCTGTGTAAGATCCATATCTGGTTATAGTGCTTGTTTTGATCTTCAAATTTCACTGTCTCTTGAATTTTAAAATTATTTTTGTTGTTTTTTTAATTAAAATTTTTTTGAGAATTTCATACATGAGTATACTGTATTTACATCATTTCTACCTTTCTCCTTCCGGCTCTTCTCATGTGACTCCATCCCTTCTCGAATTTGTGACTTCTTCTATAACAATTATTATTACATAGCTGAATCTATCTGTCTATCTATCTATCTATCTATCTATCTATCTATCTATCTATCTACCTACCTACCTATCATCTATCTATGTAATCCACAAAGGGCAATCACTGTTGCCTGTATATACACATCTTTACAGCTGATCACTTAGGACTGGGAGACTAGATGAAAGCTCAGATGCCTTGAGTGATGGCGAGTTTATCAGGCAGAAGGCTGGCTGGGCAGAAGGTTTGCTATAGCTGTTGCTAGAAGGTGCTGTGTCTTCGTTATGGTCCTGCCTTTTGGTTCCCATGTTGTCTTTTGGTTTCTTTTCTATTGACTCCTTGAATAGAATCTGGGTTATTCTATACTATTTCACCAGCATTAAACACAGGCCCTGAGAATACAGGGAATCACTCTACGTATTTTGGATTATGTCTCAGACTTTTATTGTATCTGTGTCTCTAGACTGTGACCTTCATATGTGTACCTCGGCTTATACATACTATGTATAGGTGAACTGGTAGACCCTTTAGAAGGCAGACTTGTGGGCGATCTATAGAAAACTGGGAAGGGAGTCTTTGCTCCCATGCTGTTCACTCTTGTGTTTTCCTATCCAGAAAATGAATAGTTTTTCTGCTATGTAACTCCACTACCACCACCCTGTACCCCACTGGATGCCTAGAACAACGAGCCTGTTTGACCTTAGATTAGATCAATGAGCTAAAATAAGCCCTTTCTCTTTGCAAGTTTCTTATCTCCCATATTTCTTTATAGTAACAGAAATCTGATTATTACATTTGGGATGATAATTTATTTTGAGAGATAAAAATGGAAGAAAATGATTAAATATTTTAGTAACTGAAGAGGAGTTTTCATCATTCAGGGAATAACTTAGTTATATTGGTGTGTGACCGACCGAGATAAATTTAGAAGCTTAATTCCCTTGACTTTTGGGTATAATACTGTCAATGGAACAGTCATTTTCTTTGTGAAAGATTACAGACTGAAATCCATGCAGAAAAACATCCATCTCAATGGTTTCCTGGATACACTTTATGATCTTAGAAAGTGTTGGATCAACATATTTTGTTGTAGAATTTAGGGGTTATTTTAGTGTATTTCAATTAGATATCCTTCATCCTTAGAACCAGAAAGGCTCCCACAGCTGAATTTCTTAACTAATCATCTCACAGAAGACAAAACTGGAACCCAGGCATGGAGTCTGACTGAACTCTCTCCTCAGATAAAGACCAGTTCCTTCTTTCTTCTTTTCCAATTCATAATGTCAGGATTGGCATCCTGACAGTAATGCCATCCCTGGTAAAATGTTCATGGGAGCTCAAGACTCTCTTCTTTAAGGCTATTATAAGTCAAGATAATCAGCTTTGTCTATATTACTGGGGAAACAGCCAAGATGGGTGAGGTATCGTCACTTCTTGAAACATATTTTGCTCAAGAACACTAATATAAAATAATGTTTTTGAACATGTTTTAGTGGGAGGAATGGTCAAAAACACTTCTTATTAAAATACAATAAGCTTAAACAAAATGTTACAATGGACAAATAAGTATTTTATTCTATGCATTTTAAAATCTGCTTTGTCTGGAGATAGAGGTTTTGGAACAGGGTTCCTTATAGCCTAGGCTGTTCTTGAACTTGCTGCATAGGTGGCCAACTTGTCCCTGAACTCCTATCTCTACTTCCCAGGTTTGAAATGAAAATTAGTGAGTGCTAATTACTGGTCCTAGGTTGGGATACTTTTAATTGAAGACAGAGAACAAAAGATCAAATAAACTGAGTAAGCATTGGCTTAAATGGGGCCGCCCGCTACTGAATGCTCACATGCGCCTTAACTACGTTCATGTTGCCTCCCAGTGGGTGTATTATGTGTTAGCTGGCTGCCCCACATTTTGTAAAGTATGAATAATAGAGAATTTTCATAATGGAATAGAGAATTATTATAATGGTTAACATTAGTTTCCATTATAATAGATTTTGCTTTAAATAATATGGCCCAAGACACCCTTTTTGAGTTCCTGGGTTTCCAAGTTATTTGGAATTAGGTCAAAGGCCACAACTGAAAGCATCAAAGTCAAAGGAAGAAAAGAGGAATAAAGCAGAACCATTCAAACATGGTCAGTCACTTGCAGGCATGTCCCACCTTTCGACATTGGGACACCATGCTGTCATCTGTAAGGTTTCTGCTATGGAACTGCAGTCAAATTCCAAAATTTATTCGCAAAAATATCTCATGAAGTTTTAAGTGAGTTTACGGTTTTTGTTGGGTCATATTCAGAGCCATCCTGAAGCACATGGGGCCTATGAGCTGTGGGCTGTGAACTGAACACACCTGGTATAATCTGTGTGTCATCGTCAAGGTAGCTTGCTCCTCTAAGGGAGGATCATTCCTCAGGAGTCTGGGTGAAAAAGTCTGTCTGCCAACAGAGAGGCTGCCCTGGTTCTGGCTAGGTGTGTCTCAATTGGACTTTTGCCTTTAGTTTTACCAGATTCCTAATTTCTCCTTTGTTCTGTTCCCAAACCTCACCCATATATCCATGAATTGACTTCCTTGCTGATTTCTGAAGTTCTCATCTCAGAAACAAATTTACTTGGTGTTATGCAAATCCCACAATCAGTTACTCATACATTAGCATGAATGATTACATACAGATCCTGATCAAGATTGAATGAGTTTCCCCCTTGTCAGGGAAAAAGGCAGCTACACTGGGTTTCTTTCTTTTTTTTTGTTTTTCAAGACAGGGTTTCTCTGTGTTGCTTTGCGCCTTTCCTGGAACTCCCTTGGTAGCCCAAGCTGGCCTCGAACTCACAGAGATCCGCCTGGCTCTGCCTCCCGAGTGCTGGGATTAAAGGCGTGCGCCACCACCGCCGGCTACACTGGGTTTCTTATTTCACTTTGCCTTCTAGTGTCTGGAGAAAGAGTGCACTCAGCTGGTCAGACATGCCACCAAGTGACCATCTTTACCTGCTGAGCCATTTCTCCAGCCCTATTTACCTCACTTTTATTGTTTTGATGAGGACAATGGCTTCCTGCAGCCATATGAAATGTTTTCCAAATGAACACCCAGACACCTTGGGCTCTGACCACAGAACAGCTAAGCTGTGTCTGAATTCTGGGAGGGAGCAGGGAGGCAGGAAAGAAGATGGCGTCAAGAGTCAAGGTGACAGCAGAAAGTTGACAGGAAGTAATCAAAATCCAATTTCTCCCATGAATTAAAAACAAATGCAGAATGCAGATTGAACTTCGTAAGTTTTCCACTCAGATTTCTTTTCTAAAAGTCACTATTCTTATTACGCATTCATGATAATATGTTTATAGTTTCTCTTTCAGAAGGACTTCAGAACACCCACTTTTCTTGTGTGACCAGATTTTTCCATAAGAGCAGTCATGGAAGAAACACACAGGTTTGTTTGTTTTGTTTTGTTTTTTATTTTAACATCGTTTTTTGCTCTTCTCCCGGCTCTCCTTCAAGGCTGGCGAAATGTCTCAGTGGGTAAAGCGTCTCCCGTGCAAGCATGAGCATCTGACTTGGAAGCCACAGAACCCACAGAAAGACCAGGCAGTGTGGCATGTGTGCCTGTTATCTCAGATGTGTGTGCATCCCTGAGGAGATGGGAGGAGGGAAGGAGAGTCCCTGGAAGCTCACAGGGCAGCTAGCTCAGAGTACACGGTGATGAAGAACAAGAGACTGTCTCAAACAAGGGAGAGGGTGTGGATCAACACTGGAGGTTTACCACATGCTGTATAGCATGTACACACACACACACACACACAAACACACACACACACACACACACACACAAAATGAATGTCTCTCAGTAATGATAGTAGCACTATATTTACATACCTAAGATCAGCTACTGGTATGACTCTTCATGGCCAAGTGAGTATCATGTTTTACCTTAGCTCTAAGATTCTCTTTCTTTGGATGGAGGCACTGCCGTCCCTTTAGAAGAGAGAAGTTGGCGGAGTGGTATTGTAAACTGAGGTTTGACAGAAACTCTTTCACAGTGTTGTAGCTAAAATTTAAATGAAATATGGAGGAAACAACAATACAACTAAGAATAATACGGATACTGTGACTTGTTACAATTGCTTTTATGTAACCAAAGAAAAGTAAATAATTATAGATCGCCTTGTTACATAAAGAAGAACTTTTTGTATTTCCCAAACAAACAAACAAAAAAAAAACCTTAATTTTTCTATTAAGTTGGAAATGAACCATACATGGAAGCATCCTCTTCATAGAGATTGACCAGAATCTAGCTCATATTTCCACAGGGTCTAAAGCCCAATGGTAATATGCTTTCTACAGGGGCCTTCGGGAGCTCACAACTTTTTATTGGTGTTTTGCACATAAATTAATTGTGACCAAAGAAAATCCTGGTTACTATGTAACTACCAGAGGTTGCCACCAGCAGGACTAAATCACTCAGACCTTACAGCTGTCCTGACAGTTTGTGCAGAGACTGTGGTTCACAGCACAGAAATGGGACTTCTTACCACAGCAGAATCATCACTGTAAGATATGAAACATTTGCTTTTTTTTAAGTTTTAAAGATTTATTTCATTTTTATATATGTGTATGTGTGTCTACAGGCACGTGTGTGCAGGGAGGTCAGAAGAGGAAGTTTGATGCCTAGGACCTGGAGTTATAGGTGGTTGTGAATTGCCTATGTGGGTCCTGGGAGCAGAACTCTGGTCCTCTGCAAGAGCAGTATGTGCTCTTAACCATGGAATCATTTCTCCTGACTTGACCCATAAACACATTTTTTTAGTATATATACTGTGGTGACTTCAAATTTCCCTTTCACACTCCAATTATCAAAATGTTATCCTTACCACTCCAAGAATCTGGGACAACTACGGGGAGTAGTAATGTACAGTTTCCTCTCTACATAGAAATCTGGGAGAAAGTCAGTACAGCAGGCACCATACCCTTGTTTTCACAGGGTATCAGTTAGCAAAACCAGCCTCTGAAGCACCCTCCACACTGTTCCCAGCCAGAACCCACAGATCCAACAGGCAAGGCCAAACTCCTGACTCTGTGTCTTCCAAATCTGCAGGCTTCCCTCTGGTGGATGGCATGACCCCTCCTCTGTCTGTCTGTGAATTCTCCTTCCATCATGCAGCCCAAGACTCTCTCATGTATCCTTCAGCATCCAGGCTACATTTCTTTTCTTTTCTTTTCTTTTTTCCATGCAATTCCTGGCCAGTGCTGCCCCAGGACAGTGAAATCCCTCTCCCTACCACCTCTCACTTCATACACATACTTCAGATCAGTGTCAGTCTTCTCTGTTCCTAGGAGGCTTTGACTCAGTGTTTTACATCGCGGAGTTTCCAGGACAAGACCATCTTCTAAGTAATCAAGTGGCTAAACAGAGAAGCATCTTGTAATCGCTGTAAGTAGATACTCTGTGGACCATTTCTCTAGTGCTGCAGTTTAAACAGGACCTCAAGCAACTGCTTCAGGCAGCCCTAACCCAGAATGAATGATAGGAGAGCACTGCCCTCTAGAGGCCGCAAAGAAAAGAGGGCTTCATGTTTGGTCTCTAAAGCTAAGTAGATGGCAGCTTTATCTTTCAGGAACTCAAAGGCAGGCAGGCATGAGCTCTCCTCTGCACAGCTAGAAATGGAGTCATTTGTCCACATGAGATGTTTAGAATCTGTGAGGAATCTAAGACACGACTATGGTGATATTTTATTTGTATTAAAATGTTATTTGTATGTTAATAAATAAAGTTGCCTGGGGGTCAGAACTATTAGCAAGCCATAGGAAAGCAGAGCAGTGGTGGCATACGCTTGTAATTCCAGCACTTGGTAGGCAGAGCTGGGTAAGTCTCTGTGTGTTCAGGGATACAGCCATTATTGGATACACATGCCTTTAATCTTAATACCAATCATGGAAAACCTGGAGGTCTATACAGACAGGCCGTGAGGAGGCGGTCATGTGGTTGGGTTTACAACCAATGAGAAGGCAGGACAGGAACTCTATATAAAGACTTTAACACAGGGGTAGCTCTGGTTCGGAGAGGTAGGACCACCGCAGGAGGAAGGGTAAGGTTTTAGCTCTTAGCTCTGACCTCTTGGCTTTCTTCTTTGCATTGGTTCTGTGTTTCTTATTTAATAAGAAGGTTGGATACATCTACATTTGGCGCCCAATGTGACAAGAATTCATTAAAAACCGCTTGGCTTGGCGGCAGGTCCGGTTTCCGGCCTGCTCGGCCCGGCTGCCTAGCTTGGGCCCAGGCCTGACTGACCCGCAGCTGGAGCTACTTGCAACTGCTACAAACAACTCAGGCCTGCCCTGCCAAACAGGGCCCCTGCCTGTAAAGCCAAGGCTTGACTCGAGCGGCTATGCTTTCTCTCTCTCTCTCTCTCTCTCTCTCTCTCTCTCTCTCTCTCTCTCTCTCTCGCTGGATTCACACCTAGAACACCAGGTGGCTGTGAAATTCCCTGGGATTCTACTGTTCTACCCAGACTTGGTAAGTCAATTAACATATCTATTTAAAAGAGAATTTTTTTCTACATTAAAAAAAAATGGGCTTTATGTGTACATTGGAAGAAAATTGGGCTTTGTTTGAAATTTTAGGCACTCTGACAATGGAACAACTATATGAAAAGATTAATATTGATCGAATTATTCAGTTTATTACTTTTCTTATCCTCATTTTACTATTTAAAAAGATAGTCAACTTAAGTGCCAGGATAACAATCTTAGAAAAACCTGTTAAACCGGTAAAAATGAATGATAGAGAAATTCAAATTCAGACAGAAGAAATAGTGAAGTTGTTTCAAAATTGGATCATAAGGTTACAGAAAGAAAGCCAGTTTTTACACAATCACCCTTAATTTATCCAGTAGCCATACAGCAGCTACCTGATGAAGAGAATGAACAAAATACTTGGGTTCCAGTTAAAATGTTAGACTTACGAAGATTTAAGGAGGCAATAGCATCTTATGGCATGCACTCCCCATATGTAAAGCAAATGTTAAACACCTGGTCAACTTGTAATAGGATTCTACCAAAGGACTGGTGGGAATTGGCACAGGCTGTTCTTGAACCCGGACAAAATCTCCAGTGGAAAATGTGGTTCAATAATGAGGCTAAAAATATAGAAAGACAATGGAGGGATAGCGGAATACAAGTCTGCCAGGATCAGCTTATTGGAGAAGGCCAATATGCTTCAGTACAAACACAATGTTCATATGATGTCCAAACCCTAGTTCTATGTCGAACGACAGCTTTGAATGCATGGGACAGAGTTGAAGAACCAGGAAAAAAAACTGAGTCATTTACAAAGGTTATACAGGGCCCCAAAGAATCTTTCACAGATTTCTTACAAAGATTGACTTCAGCAGTACAAAAAATGGTCCCGAATTCAGAGGCTAGTCAGATAATAATTGAATCTTTAGCCTTTGGGAATGCAAATGCAGCGTGCAAAAGAATAATCAGGCTGTTAAAGGCAAGATCTGCACCTTTGGAAGATTGGATTAGAGATACAGTTAATGTAGAGGCTTATGACCATGATGATATGTGGGTAGGAAAAGCAATTTCAAAAGGTTTGAGCAATGTTAGATGTTTTGGATGTGGAAAGCAAGGACATTTGAAAAGGGATTGTAAACAGGTCATTCCTAGAAATAATGTTTCTTCAAGGAACACTGGCAACAGAATGCCCCTTCCTTCTGGAGTATGCAGAAGGTGTGGTAAGGGAAAACACTGGACCAACGAATGTAGATCAACAAGGGATAGACAGGGTAACTCTCTGCCTCGAGCTTCGGGAAACTCCCAGAGGGGCCTCAGGCAGGCCCCCACAGTAAATCCAGTTCAAACCTTTCCTGCAGTTGTAGAGGAAACCCCTACTCAAAGCAACTAAATAACCAAATGTCTATTGGAATAAATCATGTTAGTCGAGATGATGAAACAGAGAAAATAGGAAATACAGGAAAAAACATAAAGAAAATTTTTTGGCAAACTTCTATTAATGAACAAAGACCAAAACTAACAATAAAAATAAATGGTGTTTTGTTGTCTGGTCTGGTAGACACAGGTGCTGACATTACCATAATTGCACCAGAATTTTGGCATCCAACTTGGCCTCTTCAGGAGGTAAACATTCAACTCTTAGGAATTGGGACATTATCTCGAGTGAAACAAAGTGCAAGATGGCTTGAATGTATAGGTCCAGAAGGACAGAAAGGAAAATTAAAACCATATATGGCTAACATAGCTATGAACCTGTGGGGTCGAGACTTGTTACAACAATGGAATACTCAGATTAATATCCCTCCAATCTCAGAAACAAATCATAAATTAGTACATGTTTCTGAGAGAAATATTAAAAGATATTATTCTAATGAGTGCTCACCAGCCATCCATGTCATACAAGAACAGGGCACAACAACTGATAATCTTCCAAAAACACTAACAGCTCTACCTTTAAAATGGTCAACAGACAAGCCTGTATGGGTTCAGCAATGGCCTTTAACAACAGAGAAACTCCAGGCTTTACAACTTGGCCTCTTCAGGAGGTGAACATTCAACTCTTAGGAATTGGGACATTATCTCAAGTGAAACAAAGTGCAAGATGGCTTGAATGTGTAGGTCCAGAAGGACAGAAAGGAAAATTAAAACCATATATGGCTAACATAGCTATGAACCTGTGGGGTCGAGACTTGTTACAACAATGGAAAGAGAAGAAGCAACTGCTTCAGGCAGCCCTAACCCGGAATGAATGATAGGAGAGCACTGCCCTCTAGAGGCCGCAAAGAGAAGAGGGCTTCATGTTTGGTCTCTAAAGCTAAGTAGATGGCAGCTTTATCTTTCAGGAACTCAAAGGCAGGCAGGCATGAGCTCTCCTCTGCACAGCTAGAAATGGAGTCATTTGTCCACGTGAGATGTTTAGAATCTGTGAGGAATCTAAGACACGACATTGAGATGAGCTAATGAGGGTCATTACTGAGACCCTTGTCTCCCAGGAATCCCTCAAATATGCTAGAGGTAAGGCTTCTTGCTGGAGAGAGTGATTCCATGTGTGTGGAAGAAATGTAAACAAACAAACAAAAATCCAGTGAGTCAAACTGCCCGAAGAAAAGCACCAGAGCAGAGTGTGGTGGTACAGGCCTTCAATACCATCATTCAGGGGATGAAATTGGGATGATTAGGATTTCAAAGCCAGTCTCACTCACAAAGCCTAGATTGTTCCACAATGAGATTCCCCTCACAAAAGAAAAATCAGAAAAAAAATCCAACAAGTCTACGCGATATATATTTCTTAATATTTTGACATAAAGAGCAATGCCTAGAGCCTGTTTCCCTCTATAGAATTGTGAGACAGTTAACCAATAAAAGCATTTTCTGTTGGGAGTTGGTAGAGTACAAGAATGCATGAGGTTCCCTGGGTTTAAAGCTCAGTACCAGAAAAGTAAATAAAGTTAAGTTAAAACAGTTTTCTTTTGATCGAACAGAATAAAAAGAGAAAATGGAAGAGTACCCACCTGGAACAAGATGGAGGAACAAAAGGGTTCTATTGCTTATACGGAAGAAGAGAGCAGGGGAACAGGAAAGAATGAATGGGTATCCTGGAGCCAGCGAGCCCACAGGCAGGTGGAAAGGCTTAGATGGAAGCTACACAGGCCAAGATTCCACATAAGGCTGTTAACCGTGGTTAGCAGAGAAGGCCAGCACTTTCCCCCTCTCTAGTCTTACACACACACCTGCAAGCGCACGGCAGGCATCCCGCGCTATAGTTACTTAGTGAACAGCCCAAGTCCATCCTGGAATCTCCAGTTCAGGAACTCAGAGTTTCTGTTTCAACTTTTTATCGTTTGAAAATCACGGCGCAAGTCTTTAAGGACCTTCCTTCCCCAGGTTGGAACTTCCTACCATAAGCAACTGATGTATCAGAACTCTGTTTTCACCCAATCACATAGAGGATGCTGAGCTGTAGTTAAGGCACCCGAGCTCGAGCTGGTGGAGAGCGCCACCTGCTGTCGCATGTGGCGCCCTGTGTTCCCAGAGCCTCAGCCAGGAAGCCTGCTGGACCACTGCTATTCCCCAAGGTAGTCTTGGTTCTCTTGGGTCACCGTGCCTAAATATAAATGCATTTGCATTGTGGGGATGACAATAACCAAGAGAGAAAAAAATCTCAAATGGAATAAAGATTTTGCATGTTTGTCCCATGGTAAAGGGGAGGAAAAGAAAAACTGGCCAACATGTTTTGTTGTTTGTTTTTCAAGATAATTTTACACTTTCACTTAGAGAATTCAATTCTATGCCTCTGGAAAAGCATCCAGAAGTCATTCTCTTGGCTTTATAAGATAAACGAGTTGGAACAGCCTCGATATTGAACACTACCAAATTAGCAAACAGCCTGGCTTATACAGGGAACCCATCAGTGGGCCTGACGCTACAATTCTCCTGCACTGGTTTCAGCCCCAGCCCCATGGTAGCACACTCCTGAGTGCCCCCACCCCGTGCCACTTCTGTTTGCAAAGGGAGCCTAAAGGAGAGGAAAACAAAAGAGAAGGGCTTTATAAAACCCAACAGACCCACCAAACACAGAATAGTGGGGTCCCTAGTACTACTTGCATCTCTGCATCTCCTTCGTGTGTTTATTGTAGGAACAACTTCCTTGACAACAGCCCGGGGGAGGGCGTTTTATTTGCTGTGATCCCTGATTTTCTCAGTAGCTTTTACTCACACAGCACCTTTGCACCTATGATTATACAAAGCAGCATGTAGTATGTGGCAAGAATGCAATGCACTGGAAATTTGAAGAAATGGATTTAGTTTCAGGGTCTTAAAGAACTGCAGCAGTAGCCTCAGCTGTTAAAACCCCCACAGACTCCAGTTACTTTCCAGGTAAGGAAGGTGTGTACTTCATTAGTCGGAAACATACCTGATCTTAGAGGCATGTAACGTACTGTGATTGTAAGGACAACTGTCACATGAGACTACTTTTAGAACAGAACAATTAAAACATTTGTACCTAGAAAATGTTCTTACACAACTATTAAGTTGTGTTTATTTATTTTGTATGTGTGTATGTATATGTGGGGCCATGCACAAGTGACAGAATCCACGTGGAGGCCAGAAGACAGCTGGCAAAAGTCAGCTCTCTCCTTCCACCAGTGCGCATCCTGGAGATGGAACTCAGGTCATCAGGCCTCTGTGGCAAGTGCCTTTACCCACCGAGCCATCTTGCTGGCCTCATAGAAAATATTTTACAATGAAAATCCAGGGATCTTTATTCTTTTTATTAGTCTGTTTAAAAATCCAGCTGTGGTGATATATTGTGTACCCCAATAAACTTGTCTGAGGATCAGAGGACAGAGCCAACCGCT